CAAAAAAGTACTCCAGAGTGTTGTTCAGCATGGGGGTGAGTAGAAAATGAAGGCTAATCATGTTTTGGGTGTACTATTCCTTTAAGATGTGCAGAAAGAAAGAAGCTCCACTAGTAAGAGAGCTTCCAGAGGTCGATGGACATCACTGATAAATACAGTAGATTAATGCTGCCCAGAGCTTCATAAACCAAAGGATAGTTATTCTTAGCATGGCTGAGTAGTAGTGCACACCTAAATCTACTGGAAAAGACTTGAATATTTATGATAACAGATCCTTTCTATCCATTCTATTTGAGATCGAGGTATTTTGCAAAGAGGAATTGACCGAGGTGTTCCTCTCTAATGATATTGATTCTCATTTCCCTGAAAGACTTTTCGAAAAAAGATTCACAATAAAGGCAATTCAACATCAATTTCTAGTAGTTTGCATTGATCTATCACATACGGTCCTAATAAAGTAGGACAGTGGCATTTGAATACTTTGGCAAAGCACCACAGATTTCAAATTGTGTGTTTTCTGTCATTTAACAGGAGCTGGTGGAGTACTATCAGTCGCATTCACTGAAGGAAAGCTTCAAGCTGCTGGACACCACACTGAGGTATCCCTACAAGTCGAGAGAACGCTCGCTAACTCGAGCTAGCACGCGCTCGCCAGGTAAAGTTCCCTCCTGTAAAACATAACAACATAATTTTTTTTCCTCCCACTCTGTTACTGTTCACATTGCATCATGCTGAATTAGTGATATTTGGGTTTCCAAGGGAAGGATAAAGCAATTAAGATATAAATAATCTAATCAGATTCCTTTGCTCTGACAGGTAAAGACCAGAACACACTGGTTGCGTACGATTTTTTAATCTCTAATCCGATTTTTTTCCATGTCACACTGACTGCGTATAGTGAGGCTACGACTAGGCCGAGTGAGCAGATGTACGCTGATTTTCACTCCTGTGCTAAACACAAATTAAATCAATTTCCCACATTTGACTTAGAAATTTTAAAAAGTTATACAATTTTTTTACAAAAACACCGGCACATTCTATAAAACAAAGTGAGTCTGTACAGCATCTCAAACCAGAACTGATAGAGAATTCTCATATGCCTATATTTAAAAACATAATGAGATCTACGTCTAAAGAAAGAGAAAGCCTACAATAAACACCATGGAGCTGTTTCTGTTCTGACTGCGGCAGCGAGGTGATTCTCAGAAAGAGATCTCTGAAGTATACCAAAGTGTTTCTTTCTTTCTTTGAAAGATGAGTGGTGCACTGCGCTTACCTGCTCTATCTGCCCCCTTTTTTTTGTGAGGCTCAAAGAGGAGGATCACTATTTTACTATATTAATTTCTTCTCCTCCTAAAGTTTTTTTTTTTTTGAGGAGATTGATAAACTGCGGTTTCTGTCCCGCATTTTTGTGAGGCTCAAAAGGTTCACCATCTGTTTTCTGTTTTCCTGAAGTCCTATCATGCGTAAAGTATAATTTCTTTTAAAATGTTTCATTCATTGTTTTTGCACGTGTCTGTCCCGCTTACTATAGCCTATACACGCTGTGCAAATTTAAAAATTTACTCTTCTCCAGAGCGATTAGCAGATTTTATTGTGTAATTCCCCCCAAAGCGAAAGCGTTTTCTTTTGTAACCACGTCTCTCTTCCTATCAGATCGATAAAATTACAGCTGAATTGCTGCGTCGTCCAACTAAAATAGACCCGGGGTCTATTTTAGTTGGGGGCAGACCTATGCAAGCCCCCTTGCTTATAATCATGTCAGGTGTGATCATCCCTGTTGACTTTCAACGAGCGCTAAACACCACAACCTCGTCCGACCTGATTTTCTGTCGCATCGAAGGTAAAATCGAATTCAGTGTGTTCTGGCCTTAACATAAAGTTTAATAGAGATAATAAGATAGTCACCAAATATCCCTCTTTAACACAATGTACACTGTAAGGTCTTTTTCGATCAGTTTCTCTGCAAAGCCTGGAAAAGGGTGATCTTGCTTTTTTATAAAGGCCGTCGCTTGTTTGGCTTGTGAGGATCTGGTTGGTTTATTTGGGTTATTGGTAATTTGATTTTCGTCTACTGGTATATTTTTTGCCGAAGTTCTGCAAAAATTATAAAAAGTTTTGTCGCAGAACAGAGATCGGAGGAATAGTTTGTACTTTTCAGTCTCAATTTGCGTCTATTGAGGAAAAAAAAAGCTCTTGTGGAAAGCCTGCTTGGATGTAAACATTATCAAAAAACTAGATAAACCAGAGTCCATATTTAATGAAGCATAAGAGCATCTCAGGGTCTTCAACATTGACAGAGCTCCCTCGTTTCTTCTTGGCATCTCTGGTAAAAGTGTATAAAAATTGAAATAATTATTTTTTTTCTATGTTCTAGTGGTTAATGTTAAAAAGAGGTAATTTTCTTGCTCCTATTACCCTGGCCTTATAAAAGAGCTACATAATCTGCTATACTGTACTTGGTTTGTGTGCTCTCTCATTTGAAGTAGCAAAGAGGAATGGGCCCATCTCATGTTTATACCCAACAAAACAAGGAGGTTTGTTTTAATAAAAAAAAAATAAAAGGCTCAGAGATAATTTCAACAACTTAAAAAAGTAAAGTTTGATTTTAAATTGAACCACGTTTTCAGTTTCTTCGCTTGCTAATTTTACTAAAATTAAATCTTTTTTTGAGAATTCAGTGTCAGATTATGCTTCTGTTATAAAGATTTACTTCAGTGCTTTTCACACAGACATGTAAAAACATGGAGATGGGTGACTGGGCTTCTATTATGATGTGGAGGTTGAGAAACCAGAGACAGGCTGTACATTGTCCTTGCAAATCCACCTGGCTTTCTGTGATTATGGTTTTGGTCATGAGCCCAGGGAAGTCAGATGTGCAGTGGATAAATGTCCAGCTGCTGTGTATCTGTGAGAACTTTTGGTAAAACAACAGACTGCCTCCTACTCACTTTGTTTTTCCTAGTCTTTTGCTCCTGGCTATTTCAAAGATCCTCTTGACTCATACGAGTAATCGAGGGAGGCCAGTGGAAAGCAGAGAAGAATAGGAGGTTGACACAGTTAAATAATAGAAAGGGGAATACAAAGGGGAAAAGGAGCTAAATAGGAGGTTTGTGGAGCCACAGAACTGGCTGCCCTCTCTGTGCATTAGGCTGTATGAATGCTGGCTGTGTCTCTGCTTTGGCTTCTGTCCTGCTCTGCTCTGTGTTTGTGCACTCTGTCTACCAGGATTAAACCTGTTCCTTCTTTGTCAGATAAATTTGGACCCTAGATTAAACTCCATGTAAAATATGCTGAGCTTTAAGATTCATCCTACTGTTTAGGCATTGGAGAAACTGTAGTACTGGAAAAGACAAAAAAACTGGAATGGAAACTAACTAAATGCCAGAATAATAGATTTTTTTCTCTTCTTTCCTTAAATTAAAAGTTAGAATAAAAAAAAAAAGATTCTAAATGATTTCAGGAACACTGAGATGAGGATTTGGTTTTGACAGCATCTGACAGATAAACTCAACATTTAAGATAAATGGAGGTATACCTGTGGAGGTATTATAAGGAAACAGCTTAACCCTAATGTATCCCTGGTGTGGAAAAGCTGGACATAATGGAGGATTTTTTAGAATTTTTGAAAAGACCTGCCCTCTTCACTTAAAAAAAAACAAACAAAAAACATGCACAACCCTGTACCCGCTTCTGAGAGGGAACACCTATTAAACGCGAGAGCACGCACAAACCCATTTCTGCACACTCTGTTTAAAAGTTGCTGTTTGCATTGCTATATGAGCTTACTTTTGAATAGAAGACTTGCAATTTTTCCACTATGCCAAACTCGCCACTGGTAAGTTAAGATGGGGACAACGATATAGGCCGGCGTTACGTAAACATATCACCAGAGTGATTGACAATTAGGAGGACCACTTATTTAGATGATCCACCCGGAAAAATAACATCCTCCACTATACCTTTAAAGAAGATCAAACTAGCTATAAGGAAAAGAAATACAGATCTGAATTCTTGACATATTCCAGAGGCCTGATGTTATGAAATGATATTTGTGCTGACAACCTGCATCCCCCTACAAAATGAGACATACTGTAGACGTAGACAACTTTAATTGTCATTTTTTTATACATGTGTATACAAAACGAAACTTCGTTTAGTGCAGCTCTTCAGACATTAAATGAACATTTCCATTCCATAAAGTGCAGCAGGAATAAAACTGTGATCTACAGCACTTTGTGTCCACTGTAAAACTAAGAAACATTTTACACTATTGAATAGTAGCTTAAGAAATGAAGAAACGGCTAAAATGTGCAATTCTAGTATGTCTTCATGCCCCATCATGTTTTTCAGAAATACTTCTGTTTTATTTTGCTCTTCCTGTCCTTTGGTGGAGTGTTTTGATTTGCTGGTTAGATTGTTATTTCCATCCACCTGAATTCTGTATTAACCATGACTTCCCACTTTTTTTTACTAGTTTATTTGCACACGCTTTGTCAAGTTGCAAAGACTCAGCTGATGAACCAGTAATTTCTTAGAGTTGAGCTTATCCAGAGAACACCTGTTGAATGTGTTGGGGATGTTACTAAAACCCCAAATGATCTTTCACTGCACGCTCAGGTCAGTGGTACAAACACAATATCAAGGTGCCGCATGCAGTATGTTGAGGTCATGAGAATCACCAGTCATCATGCTGTTGAAGAAAAAGATCTGTTCCATATTAGTCTGGAGACTTTGACACATTTAGATGTTTTAAAGGAAGAAATTCCCAAAAACACATTACACATGATTTGCTTACAAACATTAAGGTTTTAAATCATCCTTCTCAAACCCAGAATGTCCCTTTTATTCAATATTTGTGGATTATGCTTAAATAAAGTCTATGTAAAGAAATCCAATTGTGCCCAAAACATTTTCTTTTTTTTAGCTAAATCACAACAACACAGAAGAAATATTTACCTAAGGTTAACACACAGCTTCAGTTAATAAAGCAGGAAACCACTAATCAGACTGGAAATATGGGTGTAGTGATGAACTGAGACCGGAACCTTCATAAAATCCAGATTGAAAACTTATTCTAGAGGTACTTTTAAATCTTTCCTCCAAACAGAACTAAAGTTTGAACTCCAACTCTCTCTCTTTTTTAAATTATCTTGCAATGTTCTTTTCTCTGTGTGTTCTATTACGTTAAAAATGTGCTATATGTAGAAATAGACTAATTTTAGCTTTGAAAGCATGTTGTTAAAACATACAAAGTATTTATTGATGCATGGACGGTTAGACGTGTTAACACTGAAAAATATGTTTTTTATCCTCTTGGGCAACAAAAGTGTGCCCTAAAAGCTTACCCATAAACTATCCACATAATAACACAACATGTATGTAATTTTGCATTGATAAAGTGATGGAGCTGCAAAATATAGCTGCTCTAATTATGCTGGAAATTGAAAATCTATATGTTCTCCTTTTTTTAACCCTGCTTCTCTTGCTTTTTCTCGGCATGCATGCATTGCAAACATCTTCCAGCTTCATTTCTTCTCTGTTCTATCTCTCTCTGTTTCCTCCTCTCAGCAGCAACCTGCGCCTCCTACAATTTCTCCTTCCTTAGTCCACAAGGCCTGAATTTCTCCTCCTCTCAGAGCTCTGCTCCCTTCTGGTCAGGTACTGCTTTGTGCTCCTGCTGATTTCTGGCAATTGTTAATTTATTATCAGATATTTCATTAATCAGAAAGGTGTAAGCTCCTATATTTGCAAAAAGTTACTATCAATGTATACAAATAGAATGCTCCATATCCTAGATTTCTAAATTGTATAAAGGAAAACAAACATGCTTAAGGACTATTTATTCCCTTTACGTGTAAAGTGTAAAAAGTGTAAAAAGTTCTGTTCATCCATCCTAGTGAACATTGATGTTTACTGTATAGAAATACTTAAAATGGACATTGACAATGACATTTTGACAAATAAAATGCTTACTAACCGTGTTAACATGGTTTATCAATTCTCCCACTGTTTCCAATTTCCAGTGTTCACTCCTCGGGTGGTGAGCACAGCAGTGGCCAGGTATAACTTTGCAGCACGAGACATGAGGGAGCTGTCTTTGCGGGAAGGAGACATAGTCAAAATATACAGCAAGATTGGTGGAGACCAGGGCTGGTGGAAAGGAGAGGCTAACGGACGAGTAAGTGCTGGAAGACCCGAGCAGGTGGCTGACAGAAAGCAGTCACCAGACTAAAAACATGAATGTGACGTCAACACATTAATTGAGGAATATTCACCATTTAGCTGCACATTTGACAGTTATATTATGTTCGGAGTGCATGCACTTAGTTCATATAGTCACAGAGCAGTTCTTTTCTATTCTAAAGTATTGACATCTTTAAATGGTGTGATTTAGATTTTGATCCTGCTGGGTTTCCATGTCTACCAGCTGGATTTTAAACTTTAATAAAAAAGAAAAAGTATTTTAATATTTTATCAATAGCCCAAGTAAATCTTTTACCTGTTGCTTCTTTTAAACCGCTTCTCTATGCTTCAGCATCGAAGCTGTCAGAATCTATTCTGACAGTTTTTACCTTTCCAGTGTGTGTTCAGCTGAATTTCTGCTTCTTATCTATGGTTTCGGTCACCATGCCAACAGGGCCTTAGCTAAAGAACCGACATACTCTATATGCTAAAGAAATTTCACTACAACCATCTTTAAGGAAGGAATTCATTCTTAGTTGTAATCCCATTTCCTAGTGTTACCATTTTACTTTGTCTTTGACTGTCAAGTAAGGTGCAGGCAGTATCATGCTCTGGGGTTGTGATGGCTCATGAAGAAGAACAATCTATAAATTCACGATTTTATTTTTAAGTTAACAGCTAAATGGTTAAAACTGGTGACACAACAGGATATTGATCGACAAAAGACACTCAGACTGCTTTCTGAAACGAATAAGCAGGTGATTATTCACCTGGGAGGCCCGCCTTAAACCTTCAAATAAATTTTTAGTTAACAGTAGTCCTTCAAATCAACGGTGTCCAACAATTGCCCCTAACGACCCCCTTTTCAGAGGCATAGACCAGTATCTGGTGTTGCAGGATAGCAAAGAGCCCAAACGACTCCCCATTTCTAAGGGGCGGACCCATTCTTCGGGTTCAATTTGCATGTTTTCTATGCAAAAACAAGTTTTTAGGCTGCTACAGTAGTAGCCATTCAAAATTTCCCCACCTTCCTTGATTGGCCCTTAGCTGGTCCTTGGCTGTCATGATTTGTGGAAATTAAAATCTAAAGAAATGTGCCTTCACATGGTCAGACCCTGTAATTCAGTGAAAAAGTGAAGTCAAAGTAAAAAAAAAATGCAAGCCCAGGAGAAAGAGGGAGTAACTCCAGTGACTGGAAGTTAATTCAATTCAGTTTATTTCTATAGTGCCAATTCACAACACAAGTCATCTCAAGGCACTTTACAGTTCAACCAGATCATACAGGCAAATTGATTCAACGTTTTCTATCTAAGGAAAACCAGTCGATTGCATCGACTCATTGACTCAAATACAATCCCTCACACTAAGCATGCTTGTAGCGACAGTGGAGAGGAAAAACTTCCTTTTAACAGGAAGAAACCTCCAGCAGAACCAGGCTCAGTGTGAGCGGCCATCTGCTGAGGCCGACTGGGGTTCAAGCAGACAGAAAGTTAGAGGGGATTTTGCTGTGAGTTAAAGGAGGCTGTCATTCGGCTGGCGTTTGACTGGGAAGGTTCATTTTGAATGGCTGCTACTGTATATAAAGCTTATTCTGACATTTTGAATTGAAAAAGCCTCTGTAGGCGAAACATCTTCAAACTTGGATACAGAAATTTTACTTTATGAGCACCTTATAGTCTACACAATCAGAAAGAAGATGGTTAATTTGATGTTATATATCAAATTGACCAAATGAATCCACCCTGTGTAGGAAAGAAGATCATGTATTTTTTTTAGGAGATTCATAGAAATCAAGCTGTCAAAGCCCTCTATGCTAGAAAAGGGTTCTTACCTACAATATCACAGTATAGTATTGAGCAAAATAGACTCTGAAAAGAAAACCCTCAGGAGAGTCATGAATACATCCAGGAAGAATCCTCACGCTCTTATCCCAGACTGGATGACATCTTCAGAATCTGCCACTTGTGGCAGACTCTGAAGGCTGAAGCTCAGACAGCTCATCAGCTCCTCTGCCTACTGGCAGGTGCTTCTGGGTCTTCACAGCCCACAACTTCAAGCTGAAAAGCTTTTTATTTTTTCCCTGACATTACACTTAACTTATAATCACTTCCCGCTTCTACTGTCACCACATTCATCATCAACCTTGTAGGATTGGGCTGTTAACTGCTTATTTTTCCTATGTGCAAAAATTATATTTTTCCTCCTTTCCATATGCTATAAGGCCAAATGTTAGTGAGCTATTTTATATAAGGAACTGGTTCAGAATTAATTATCTAAATAAACTTCAGCCTGACAGCTGATTTATGTTACTTTAAGAAGAGTTATGGTCTCTACCATGTGCAGAAAGTGCATCCTGGTGCATTGACTTAAGTGTTTAATGAAGCTTCACCTTCATTGTTAGCAAATGTTTATCTTTCTGCGAGGAATAAAACACATGAATGAACTCAATTAACGCAGCTCGTCTCTTTACTGTTTGCAGATCGGATGGTTTCCTTCGACCTACGTGGATGAAGAAGGAGTGCAGTAAGGCTCTGCACATGCTGCCGAAGTTTCCGTTCAAATCAGGAACTAAATTCTTTCTGCTGTCCTCAGAGGAAATGACTCCCTCTCTCCAGAAAAAAACTACTGTTTTTGTTGGGGAGGGAAAAAAAATTGCAAGAATTTTTACTGAACATCTTAATTTTTGTTCTTTTCAAGTACAAATCAGCTTTTGTTTTGCCAGGCGTCCTGTTTGTTTTCTGTATAGAGAAGGAAAAGCAGCTGTCCAGCTGTGTCCCCCGCTGTGCTCGACAGAGGACACAGCCGGGACTTATTGTTGATAGCTTTATTTTGCAAAAATGAAGATGCTCCCCTTTGTTGCAGGTCTGTGCCAGGTGAATTAATTGTACAGTATAGATAATTTATTGAATAGAGATTATTATCAGTACTAATGGTTCTTGTGGGGAAGGTTTGAGCAGAGAATCGGATCAGATATACTAAAAGAAGGAGAAAAAAAATGATGCAGTGTTTTTATGTGCAGAAATTTTTGCCTTAGTTGTCATGGTGATGCCTTGTGGGCTGACACCAGTGGATGGAATCGACTTTGTGGACTGGTTTTTACTTCTCCATGTATGCATGTGCCCACATACAGTTCACACACACGCGCATACAAATGTACAGTACGGTGCCTTCAGAAAACGGTCGCGCATCAGTCAGCGAAGTGAAAAGCCTCTCCAGATCGTCCACAAGCACAGGACTTTTCTGAAGGAGCTGCGGGGCACAGATACAATTTTAAACATTACCATCAAGACTGGATGGACTCACAGGACCAGTCTGCCTGAGGTTTTTTTAGCCAATCACATACACAACTCACATCTGTGGAGGTTTCACAGTCCTGTGGGATGCAAAAGGGAAAGACGTTCAAACCCACAGCCACACTTTTCAAAAACTGTACTCATCTTTCCTTCATTGTTTCCTGCACAGAATCACAAGTTATCCAATTCAAAAGGCAAAGCAGCCAAATCCAGCCATGTTTCAGTGTCTGCAGAGTCTCTGTCCTCGCTTTGAGTTTTCCACCTTGCCTTAATTCTTTGCTTTTTTAGCAGTTTATTACTGGATGATATTTTCCTCCATCAACCTCCCGTAAATCAGTGTGTTAATGTGGGCAATTCATTTTTGGTGCTGTTTTTTTTTCATCTGAAAAAAAGCTGGGTGTCAAATCCATAAAGGGAAAGTTGATGTGCTTCATGTTTTATTTTAGTCCCAGCTGATTCTGGTGCAGAAAAGTCTTTAATCTAAAGGTTTGGTACCCTAATTGGTTCATCGTTAAGGTTTCCACAAATACCCAATTATTTGTTCAACCTCTACAGTGAAAGCCATGATTTTTGCTCCAATTATGCAAATAAACATCTAAACTTCTTTGATTCCTAAGGACTGAAATGTAAACAGGAAGCACACCATCTCCAACCAGATCACAGACTCCTGTGTTGCTTAAAAAAGCTAACAGGAGGGGGCGCTGTGTCATCTGGAAAGAAAATGGGAAGGGTCATCGTAGAGGTGATGGTCAGGGCTGTACTCGTTTTTTTACCAGGTGGACAAAAACCCATTGCATGTGACTATTGATATGTCGACTCCTGTCAGTTCATTCCAGACAATTGATTACCTGATTGTGTAAATTTTTTTGAATGGTTGAGTATTTCCAAATGAGGTCTATAATAAAATAAATATGTCTTTGATTTAAAATTGGACTCATATTTTTTTTACCCCCCCGAAACAAATACAGGTGCTTGAAAAAAAACTGATTTATTTAAGCAATTCATTTTCACTAATTATTATGTACTGTAGATATGTTTCAGTTAAATGTTGCTTATGTTAAATTTGATTACTTATTTAAAGCAATAGAAACGGCAATTAAGATTTTTCCTGGAAGTATATCCTTATACAGTAGTAGCCATTCAAAATTTCCCCGCTTTCCTTGATGGAGCCATTGCTGGTCCAACAATACATTTTTAAAAATCAATCTTTGTATTAAAATATCATGATTTTTGGACTTAAGATCTAAAGAGAAGCATCATCTCCTGGTCAGACCCTGTAATTCAGTGAAAAGGTAGAGTCAGAATAACAATAAAAGCACACCCAGGAGAAAGAGGGGGTCACTCCAGTGGCTGGAAGTTGGAGGGGATTTTGCTGGGAGTTCTAGCAAAGTGGGCTGTCATTCTGCTGCCGTTTGACTGGGAAGGGCCATTTTGAATGGCTGCCACTGTACTACACAATATGTACTTATGTTACAACAATCTGATAAGGCCACGTTGCTGATTTCATGATCTCATAGAAATTATCAGTAAAAAAAACGTGCTGAAAATCTGAATATGAAACTAGCATCATCAAAGTTAACATTCTGGTGCATCACACTGCATATTGGTGCTTTCTGTCCCATCCAGCCGGTCCGTGTCTGATCGGTGTTTGTCCTAGGCTGTAGCTTGAGTGATGGTGTCTGCTTCCTGTCATGGAAACGCTGACCTGGTTCTGATCCACCCAACTGTAGCCAGTGTGAGGGCTCTGTCCAGAGTTACGACCTGCATGTCGACTCACCGGGCGGCTCTCAGGGGGTGTGGCGTCTTCTCTGGTCAGCATTCCAAAAGAAGAGAAGTAGGAAACTTTTAAGTATTTTAAGAGACAAAACACAGGATCTGCTTTGAGCACCATTTTTTTTTTCTTTTGTCATTTCACTGTGCCAAGTGAAGAGCTTTTGCACTTTGTGGGATTAATTGAAAGATTTTAGATTATTTTTTTGTTATTAAAAAATAAGTGGCTTTAACTCACCTTTCCTGCTGAGTAATAAATGTTCTCCCCCCCCACCCCCACCTCCCCCAAAAAAGAAGTGGTAAAGAAAAGAAAAGTGAGCACTAATGGAGCCCGTATCTCTAATTTCTGAAAACTCATTGCCCAGTGATTACTGTATCTGCTAAATTGAGTCCGTTTTCTGGATAAAGTCAAAGATGAAGCGATTGCTGTACTCATATTTTTTTCTTATCTAAAGAGAACAGTTTGGCCCAAAGATTCGGTGTTTGGTTCCATCTCGTTTTGAGAAGAAAAACAATTCAGGAGCTGCTGCTACAACTAACTTTCAGCTCTACTCCTGGCTAAGAGATTCTGTGTTCGGCTGGATCTTTTTTAAAGATAAAACCCTCTAGAATCTCTTCCTCCATCAACTTGAGACAAAGGTCCTGTTATTCTTTGTTTACTGTTTAACTGTGTCTCTTTCCAGGTCAAAGCCAATGTAGGAGCTATTTCTGACATTTAATCTAGCCAATTTATTTTTATTCCCCATAAAAGCACATCCTGTTCATTATAGTTGTGTTTAGCTGTTTATTTTCTAGACCAAGTCATTCCCAGTGCTGTTGGTGGCTTATTTTAAAAAGAATCAACGGCGCTGGAGTCTTCTAATAAAGCTGTAGCTTTTCCCTTCACAAGGGCATTAATGGGCTATTGCTGCCATTAGCTGTGTTCCTTTTAGCCCCAAATCACACTAATCCTTAAAATTTGACATTATTGAACAACTATTAAAATTGAAGTTGTGTAAATTGATTTTGACCACAATGTTGCTATGTGACTGTGGGGAACTTGAATAAAATCAATCTGAACTAATATTCCCCAAATCTGGACCTTTGCTGAAATTTGTAAAATGTTGCCATATACGTAAATTAACTGCTTCAGATTGGTTTTATGCTCTTAGTTGTATTTCTAACAGTGGGCAAACATTAGTGAGTTTATTCTAAAAAATGCTTCCCTGGAGGGAGAAGGATGGTGAGCTGAGAAAGCATGTTTGAAATCTTCTCCTAAGAGCTTCCTTTCAGAGATTTTCCTCCTTTGTTGAAGCATTATATTCATTCTAGTGACTCAGCAGCTATTTTACATTTAGTTACGGTGGTAAGACCGGCTGGAATAGATGGTATTTGGTGGTTGTTTTCACTTTCAGTCAAAGCAAACAACTACTAACAACTGGTTGATTTTGTTAAGTTTCTTTTCCCCCTCTTATAATCCAATTTTTGTGAGTAAAATGAAGACTTCTTTCTGTAAATCAAGATGAAAAATTCTTGCCTCAGGTAGAGTATTGAAGGTGCTGTTTAGAGGATAGTTGTATTACTTGGAATAATTCAGAGCTGGAAACAAGATGCCCAAAATGAAACGCTCATGGTTAACCTACTTAGAGCGTATTTTAACCTTTGTTTTTGCATGTCGGTGTAGTTATTTCTCTCAAATTGTACTGTGATCTATGTTGGTTAGAAACCATCATGCATCAAGGCAATATCTGCAAAAAGCAATTTTTTCTTTGTTAACAGTAAACATATTTAAGAAAGATTGTGTTTCCAGCTCAAATCATAATTATAAAAATCAACCCATATCTTATTTAAACAATAATAGCACAACAATTGGTGAAATTTGCCCGCACTTTTCATTGTCTCCAAACTGGATCTGTTTTCCTTTATCCTAACAAGGTCTCCTTCAGGTTCTTGTTTTGACTCCTGTTGTAACTTGCCGTATCAGCATAGCTATAAACAACCTAGCCACTTGCTGGCATCATTGGCAACGTTTGTGATAAACAAGTGAAAAAATAAAGTTTTCTAACATGAAACTATTTAAATAGCATGAATTTAAAAGCTGTAAACCAAATTTATTGCAAATAACTCTTTTAATCTTCTTTATGGATTTTAGTAGGCTATATACAGTATAATGACATAGATTTTATTATGAGATCATAATTTGGAACAGTACATTAGGTCTGATAGAACTATTTATTTTTTTTCTGGGAACAGCTGTAATGTTCCTGCCATCAACACCCTTGTTTATAGATGCTGGAGATCAGCCTGTTTTCCAGTGCAGTCCTGTTTCTCTGACTGTGACTGGCTGGATGTTCTCTCTTCATCCTCTGACATGGGAGCTGGCTCAGAGCTCATCTGCCTGGCTGTGTGTTTCCTGGACGGGGCCGCCTTTTACAGCTGCTTTTTGCATCTCTGCTTCTGTCTCCTTGAACCCCAGTCGGCCTCGGCAGATGGCCGCTCACACTGAGCCTGGTTCTGCTGGAGGTTTCTTCCTGTTAAAAGGGAGTTTTTCCTCTCAACTGTCGCTACAAGCATGCTTATTGTGAGGTATTGTATTTGAGTCAATGAGTCGATGCAATCAACTGGTGTTCCTTAGATAAAAAACTTTGAATCAATTTGACTGGATGATCTGGTTGAACTGCAAAGTGCCTTGAGATGACATGTGTTGTGAATTGGCGCTATATAAATAAACTATATTGAATTGAATTGAAATAATGTAACTCCTCCAGAGTAAAGACAAAATAAAAAATAAAAAAAATCCAAAAAAAGGTGATTTTGGAATAGCTAATTCTCTCTAACATTAAGGTTTAGGGGTCAATGTCTTTTCTTTTTTTTTTATCAGTTGCAGCTTAACATGTAAACAGATTTTTTACCCCGGGGCTAGCAGCATGCAAAAACACAGAAGTAAGCACGAAATAGAAAAGGTGCAGAATAAAGGCAACAAACAGCTGCAAAGCTGTTATAGCAAACTAGCTTCTGCACAGCCCTGACCTCTTGACCGCGAAAAATTGGCCTAAGTTTTGGTTTCAGTTTCCAAGCAACCAACCAGGTTAAATTAATACCCGGGTGTATAAGGGTGGTAAATTATATTAATCCTATGCCCCCCAAAAGGATGCAACTGAAGGGGAATTTCAGCTAATGTGGAGCTAAATGCACGCCAGATTCAATCTTGAGCACGGATGACTTATCTCAAAAACTCAGCGAGACCGTGCGAGTTCTTTCAGCTGATTCCTTTAGGCATTGCTCTAGCAAGTCATTGAAACTTTGACAAAGATTTGGCTAAATTTTTATGCCAGAGGCTATTCCTGCCACAATCAGGATTCAAACCCTGATCCTCATACATCAAAATAACTGACTTAGGCTTCTCCCACAGAGGGACTACCACTCTGCAGGCTGTAAGTTGTTTAATAAGCCCTCTATCTGTTGAAAAACACTATCCAAATACATGAATAGTAGGTTTAACTAAATGTAAACTTCAGATCAGTGATCAGATTTAAAGTTCTGATTCACACTTAACCTAAGATAATATATTCTGTGATCAAACTTAAGTTAGAGCAAGTCTACTGTCTTGATGTGCCTGGTTCCTCCATGTGCCAGCCATGCTTCTGGCTACTCTTGTCTCCATGGTTACAGCAGTGGTTTTTCTATAAGTACAAATCACGCTTCACTTGCATGAGCTTCAAAGTAAAGTGTTTTGACCTCCGCTTTTGATGAATATCTGTTGAATTTAGCACTTGGAAACCTATTTACACCATTTGAAGTGGCTTCCTAGCGTCTTCCTGTTGAGTGAAGTTGTTGATCCAGCAGCTCACATTAAAAGTTTGCAATAATTGCTCTTCAGTCGTTTCTCTATGGCACATTTTTAATGTAAGGAGAACAAAACCTATTTCTTTTACAGGCACAGAATTTCACATAAACAATGCCAAGGAGGCATCTACCTGTTTCTTATACACACCACCCTCCCACACTGACGGGCCTCACATACTAACATCTAGTTTAAAAGTCTGTGGGATGACTTTTATTTTTCCCCAAATGTAAACTCCAGGGGAATGATCTCTGTAATAGATCATTTCCCTCAGCAAACATGCATGTCATGGTGCCTATTTTTCAATGTTGTAGCTTTTCAAAACTGGAGGGAATAGTTTAGGAAACTGGATATAAAATGTCTACATTAGTTTTCTAAAAAGTGCTTCTCGTTCTTGAATATTAATAGAAATCATGATGATAGACTTATTCATTGCCTAAATGTACTGAAGTGTGGAAATCTGCATAATCATCCAAGCACAAGAACCACTCTTCACACAAACCATACTAATTATAAATTGAATAAAATGACCAGTATAGCAGGTTTTTCTTTCAAACAAATCTTAATTTTAATGATCTTTTCAGGACAAGTAAGAATTTAATAAATTGGGGAGAAAAATGCTTATCAAAAACACATAAATCTTTATAGAATAAAAGCTATTGTTAGCTATATATCATATATTCCACTTCATAATTACCGGTAGGTCCCTTACAGAAGAACCTTACCCTCAGAATAACTCTTTGCTTTCATTAAAAAAAACAGTTAAATCTGATTTTAGTCTTTGCAGCCGCTATCTAATTGATCACAGCTAGTTTGATGAGAAAAAGTGAAAAAAGGGGCTAACCATTAATACTTAAGAGGTTATAATAAATGCAGCTTTATTAGTGGATCATAATCTCACTGAGAGGTTTTTGAAAAAAGCCCTAATATTGCTATTACTAAAAACATTTAAAGTAACTATATTACAAAAAGACACTAGAATGCGATAACTTCTAATAGCAGGTTGAAACTTTGCTTAAATCTCCTTATAATTAAACAAAACTGAGTCAATATTGGAATAAATATTTTTGTTTATACCAGTTTTTCTTCCCCTGAAGCTTCTGGAGCTGAATTGTTGACAGCGAACTCTCCTCAGTCTATGACTGGGGGACTAACAAGAAAGAAGCTTTTGCTTTAAAACAACTCAGACTGAAATATGCAGCCTCTCACAAAGACAAGCTAACAGTTTTTGGGAAAGGTTTTAAGATCAGACATACAAATGCTGAGATTTTTGACCAACAGGGGATAAGGAAGTTTTGGAGTTTTATACCTTCAAACCAAGGAAGGCTTAAACAACCGTCAGGGATAGAATCAAAGCGTTGGACAAAGTGAATGGATTAATGAAGAAAGAGAGCTTCCTCTAGATAATATTGCTGTTACGCAGCGGTGGCTGCTGCACTCTGAAACAAGCTCAATAGTGTAAATTAAATCCAAATGTCATGTGTTGCATTAACAAACGTTAAAACACATCACTACAGCGGGTGAAATTAGCTGTTGTGAAGCGCTCTGAAATAACTCAGGAAACCAGGGCAAGAGTTCAGTAAAAGATGAATGTTCTGACTGAAAGAACAATTTTTCCTCTTTAATCATTAGGAAAAAACCTCGCTGTCTAGCTACTGTCAGTCAGCGTTTTACTGTCCCCGGCGCATTTTACTGTCCAACAACAGTGTTACGCTACAGTATACAGATATTCGTTGAGCACTAGGGCTGTAGGAGCTATTTCTCTATTTTTGTTTTAGAACTTAAATTATTTTGTTAGTTTGTATTTATTTGGTTATTTGTTGCATTTTTGTTTGAAAGTAGTTGCTTAGAATACAATTATTTCTTAGTAAATTGTTTAATTAGTTAATTGATTTTGTTTGGGTGTCTGGTGTATAAATACATGGACTCCAGGTAGCTCAGGTGAAAAGTGGGTGGGCTTATGGTTTTTTACCAGTCTTCCACTCTTCTAGCTGCAGTCTACCAGGCCTTTCAGAAGGCAAGTCACTCAGCCTTAATCAGGTGAAGTGAGCACAAAGGCAGAAACCAGGCCAGGAGATGTGGCAAGTAGTCTTTTTGAGTTTTTGTATCATGTTTATTTTTTCCTGAAGAAACCTGGAATAAACTCACCGAACTGCATTTTTCACGTATTTTGAGAATTTTTTGTACTGCGTAAAACCAGAAACCCACTATTCCTCAAGTGACTATTTGATTTACATTTATTTTTTGCTTTTTTCATTTTTAAGTTTTTTCATAGACAACTAGTCACTACAAGGGCCAAGTGGAAAACCGCAGCTTAAACTGAAGCTGGCATTCCCGAGTTTTGGCCACTCACAAGCTGCTGATTGGCCCACCTTCTTTTCTTGTGTGATTGGCCTTAACTGCTGTCACTGCTGAGAAGCTCACTGAATTGGGTCTGTGGTTTGATGGTCAGACACGGTGAAGCTAGTTATATTAAAAAATACTTTTGTGTCCCCTATTTCTGAAATCAAAATTTCATCCAGGTCTTCAAGAGTCTTTGGCAATCGTCATTGAGCAACCAGTTTTACAACCCGCCCCTGTTACATAGACCACCTAAGAGGTTTAGCCTCACTGGAAGTGACATATTTTAACATGTTATCGAATCAGGGCTCTACTTTCACACTGCTTACCTCAATAGACCGAGGCAATAGACTGAGGCTCACACCTCCAAAGGGATTTCTAATAGAGGCTGACAAGCAGCGTCCTGCTGCTCCAGAGTGGAGTGGAGATCGTGCCCGAGAGCTGAATGAACAGCTGGACAAGTACATTTTTGCACATATCTAATACGGTTTAATGACTACATATCTGAAGTTTGACAATGCATAATTTGGCAATAATTTTACGAAATTTACAGGGGAGGTTTAGCCTCCTCAGTATTCAACTAGAAATCGCCTCAATGCAATTAACTAAGCCACAGCTAAAGTTTTATGCATAGACTGTGACTCTTTAACCCAGACAGAAACAGAGAAATACTACGGGACCCCAAATGTCCTAAGTCGAAGAGTCAGCATTTCAATTATGCGTTCATACATTTCTAGAGACTGAAAAGTCGACGGCTGGGAAGGCGGACCCTAAGGAGGAGAAGCAATTGGGGCGTCTGTGCATCTGCTGTTAAGCTCTCAATTAGAAATCAGCACCTGGGAACATCCTCTCTCTGCTCTCAGGGGGAATTTGGATGTCTCTTTTAAATCTTTTTCCAAAGTATAAAAGAACAGTGTGGCTCTAGTCTCAGACTGGAACACACTGAGGGAAAATGATGATGCCACAGAGTTGGCCAGTTTTCACACATAGATTATCCAAGGAAGACAATTAACTGAGATGCTGAAACTGAATTAAACAACCTGCAAACCACTAAAACTTTACATTAGGAGGTTGAATAATGTATTTTGCCTTGCACAAGTATATATATATCCCCAAACCTTTTTCACATTCTGTCACGTTGCAACCACCACCTTTAATGTTATAAACCAATGCACAGTTTATTTAGAGGTAGAATGATATAGTCTCTTTGTAGACTCTAAAGTGTTTTTTTTGCACCTTCTTACCTTTTAAAAACTAATAACTGCGAAAAATAGCTGTGATCTTTGACTGCTTGCTGAACTGGGTAAGGCCTGAAGTTGTGTAACCTAACCGTTATCCTAAAACAGAGTTAGCTTTTTGCCACATGCAGTTTTTAACCCTGACAGGGTTTCATTTTTGACACTGAATCGTTTTTGTTTTTTTTTGCATCATCTTATATCGTAACATAAAAAAAAAAAATTGCTTTTACGTTATGGATCCACAGTTTTAAAGGCAGAACCCTTATTGGGAAGTCCAGAGTTGTTTTCTTTAGGGAGCAACTTATATTTCTCAATGCATCTGCTTTTATTTTACATATTCTTCCAGCATGGCTCTAATTGCCTGTTTTGTTTGAATTTCTTTCTACGTAGTTTTTTTTTTTTTTTTTGCTAGTGTTGTTTTTGATCAAGATTGTTTTTCTTATTTGCTTGGCTCATATTTTTCTGTTTATACCCAGCATACTAAACTCAGCATCACCGAGAGTTTTCCTTCAAAGAGCTTCCCTGTTTTATAATGAGAATTAACAAAAGGCGTGAGGGTACATCATGTTCTCGTAGAGGTTTTAGTTGTCTACTTATTATCACTTTTAACTCTGCAAACTTCTCTTGGAGCACGAGCTGTGAGGATTTACCTGATCTCGTTGGAGAACTCTTTGTCATGATGATATCTGTCATTCAGCTTCCAGCACAGGAGCCCAGTGAACAACAGGAGGATGAGAACAAGGAGAAGCGACCCCACAGCTTTGCCACCAATCACTGCCGCTCTATTTGGAGCTGCAAACCCAGCATAAAAAAAACCCAAAACAGAATCAGTCACTCTGATAAATAACTTTTTAGTCCGTCTGCTGTGGGTTTGTTGCTGATACTTGGATAGTGTTAGTTTAACTGTGAAATAAATTGCCTGGGAATAATATATCACTTTCCCATTTTTTCTGTCTTGCTTTGTAATAAAAGCAGCCTTTCCATGGCACTAATGTTAATCTTAGCAACTCATTACAGTCTAAGTTTATTTATCATGCAGCATCTCTCAGCTTCCTTGTGTTTGGAATGTGTGAAACCTTAAAAGATTCGCTTTTAAACATTTGCATTTCAGTCATCATTTTTACTTCGAAATTTCAGTTTCAGGGCAAAAGTAGGTCTGTTGATGTTTGTCACTTCCCTTCACCACCGCACAGCTGGAGTCTTACTGCAGAAGACAGCAGTTAAAAAATGAGAAATGTTAGAGAGGCAACTCTAAAACTCTGGTGAGATGTTGGAATCTAATGAAAATGGGGTGAGATCTTGATTGTTTGCACTCATACTGACACAGTTTCAAATCTAACAAAGGACGATAATCAACCAAAATTCTAAGCTAAAAAAAAAAGCACAATCTCCCCCAAAGAGTTCAGCCTGTCCTCGGGGCAGGTTATCTTTGAAATGTTTCATCTCCTAGAAATATTTAATCTAAAGAATCTCAGGTATATAAGCTGTAACACATAGTGGAGCAACAAGTTAATGTCGGTTTTCTGAAACGTTAACCCCTAGAACCCTACGGACCCACCGGTGGGTCCAGCTGCTACGTGACCTCGTAATTTTAACAAACCCCCAGTATTGATGTAAAAAACACATTTGGCACAGTTTGGTGACATTTATGGATAAATGTGCCAAAATGGCC